AAAGGAGAATTAAATTGAAATAAGGGAGCCCTAATCAGGGTAAAGATGTAATATGGTGGGTTTTCATTTTAGGTAAACTAAACTAGATATAAAGCTGGGGCATGGATCTGGAACCACTTTCAATGAGAATGTTATTAGAAGACCTTGAGAATATCAACTGTATCAAATGATTATGTAATGTTCTTGTGTTTTATTGTTTTATCCTATACTGATAGGCGGGGTATAAATCAAATAAATAAATAAATATTGTACACTATGAAAGTAATATTATGATAGTAGCCACATTATATACTAAAATACGTACATGAATGGTTTGAATGTTTGAAAGATGTCTGGAATTTGGGGGGACAACTAGGAAGACACTGAGGTGTTAAAATCAAATAATTGTAAGCAAATCATGTAACACGATGTTTGACAAGCACAAATTAAATGTAGATAGAGTGAAAAACTAATAAAATGTTTTTTAAAAAAAGAATATATCACCAAATTCACTAGTTACGTTCCATCACTAGCTCCTTTGCCATATACTATTACTGTTACCAATTACTTTGGCAAAGCTTTACATAGTAAGGTCTTAGTTTATAGAAAGTGTACAAATTTTTGTACAAAAAGATTGAGAATTTTATTTGCCCTTGATTTATATTTTAGAAGCAAAAAATACTTTTAAGGCAACAAAAATGCAGAAGTTGAGTTTTAAGAGTTGATCCTGGACGAAGTCATACCAAGATGAACAGCAAGCAAGTTCTGCAATACAATTTGATTGCAACATGTGTTGCATGAACTAAAATATTTACAACTCAGAAGTGAAAAACAATACTTTGTAGGTTGCAACCCATTTACTGAGTTTGAATAAGCTTCCAGTCAGCACCTGGTGAACTATCCCATGTATTCAGTATATCACTGGCATTCAGAAACCTTCCAGTCCTCAAAATAATGGCAGTGTGGCAACCCACCCATAAGGTTCTTCATGATCTATCTGCAAATCCTAAATTAGATAAGTTGCTAATCTAAATGGCTTAGCAGAATTTCATTAAATACTTCACCCAGGATTGAATGGGGGTGCTTCAATGGATAAAAATACTTCAGTCTATGGAAGCATGAGAAATTGTCTTTTCACCATCTATGTACCTAAAATGTTGCTTCTATAGGGTTCAGAAGCCTTCTACAGTTGGATTATGAGTGGCACAAAAGGTTGAAGTCAGGGGGAAAGGATGCAATTCCATCACACTAGTAGACGTCCAAATCTACACTAGTAGACGTCTACATCTTGGATGCTTGCCTTGGTATATGCTGCACTGGTTTATAGAAATCTAACTGGCTGTTTTGGACAATGTACAAGATTTTTTATTTATTGCAATTCTTTGCTTGAAGGGTGTTTTCAGCCTAGCTTTAGCCCAAGTTATAGCCATTATTGTAAAATGCCTTCATCATACATTTTACATCCATTATACTGTACATATATATCTTCATTTTGCCTTTTAAAATAAACATTTGACTGATTATGCCAAAGGCATAGTTCAGTGGTAGAGAACAAGCTTTGCAAGTATTAGGATCCCAGTTAAAATATTGGATTCAAATGCTAGAAATAGCATCTTCAGGTCTGCTGCTAATCAAATTATCCAATACAGGCCCACATGGATTAATGATCTGATTCAGTATAAACTAGCTTCAAATGCTCAGTGTCAGTAAAATACCTCTAATATTAAATTCAACCACAAAATTTGCTGCTCACCTGTACCAAGCAGAAATGGATCTCAGTCAAGTAGTTGGATGCACAGATAATACATTTGTTTTCTTACTCATTAGTGGACAACGAGATTATTTATAAATACCATGGCCAAGTTGAATGTACTTGAACATTTAGCATATCTCTATCACAGTGAGGAAACAGCAGTGTGACAGCTGCACTAACTTAATACAGTATTCCAGACTTTAAAGTGTATGAAGCTCTCGTACCTTCTGGCGTTAATACTCCTCTTAACCACTTTTGGATTCCAGTCACCAAAATTCTCATAAAAGAAGGCTGCTTATTATGCTCTATAGAGAACGACTCCCAAAGAAGTACTACTCCCATAAAGCACTGCACAAATCCTTCTTAAGGAATATTAACAGGAAGCAAAGGCCAAAGAAGCCAGGGTGAATTAAAATTAATATTATTTTAAATTAAATCAAATTTATTTTAATGAAATGCTTTTTGGATGAAAAAATCTACCATGTTTCCCCAAAAATAAGACATGGTCTTATATTAATTTTTGCTCGTAGGTTGAGGCTCCGTTCGCAAGTCGATGCCAATTTTTGTGAACGGAGCCGTTCGTAAATCGAAAAGTTCGTATGTAGGGACGTTAAGTCGAGGGTTGACTGTAGTTGGGTAGGGTAGTAGAGAAACAAAGGTAACTAACAATAGGGGATGCAAAACTATTTACCATCAAAAGCATAAATTAAATAGAATACTGTGCCAAGCAACTGTAGTACAGATTTCAGATTAGTCCATCAACACTTTATTTCTCGTCTTAAATGCTTCGAAGTTCAACCAGAAAACAAAAGGATGCAGCTACATTCTGAAGCAAACAGGCTAGGGATACTGCTTAAAAATAGTAGTACCACCAGTATGCATTACAGAAATTCCTAATAAATGCTTATTCAACACTGTATCAATAGTTTGAAATGCAGAACCCTTGCAACTCAGAGTGCAGCTTTCTGAGCTGTATAAGCAACATCTAAACAAAGTCATATTCAAATTTAAGCCCATTATATTAAAATAGTGAAACTGAAAGTCCTTTTAAAAGTTATCCTACAAGTTATATGCAGTGATCTCAAAATAATCATGCTATCGTTCTTCCTGCCAGCTGATTTTAAGCCATTCTTGTTTAGCAATCCTTAGAGATTGGTAATGAAAAGCACTGTGTAGCCTGCACAACTGTACATCGTTTATAGCAAATCTAGCAAAGATTTATGTAGCACCTTACAGATTAACAGATTTGTCAGAACATCATGATTTATGAACTACAGCTGATTAAGTGGGCTATGGTCCATGAAAGGTCATACCATAAGTGATTTGTTAAATTTTTAAAGATTCTTCTTTAGTTTTGCTCCAAGAAAATTACATGGATACCCTTTTGGCAAAAATTTATAGCACAATCCTATGCATGCCCAATTAAAAGTAAATCCTATTGCATTCAATGTCTGAAATTTGTTGTGCAGGTATGACTGTATAATGTGAAGTTGTGCAAGCCACTGCAAAATTCATTGCAAGCAATCTTCTTTGGAAATACATTCTACAAACTGCAGATTCACATATAAAAAACCAGTATGTACATCCACATTCATCTAGCTTCACACTTTATTCTCCTACTGACCTTGGAACTGCCTTCCTCCAAAATTTCTCCCTCATCAGTTTGCATGGGACCAGAATCTGTGCAAAACTTTGCTGAACTATGAAGTTCTGTTAAGGAAAAAATAGGGTACGGAAACATATTGAAACAATTAGTCTGGAATTTGTGTTTGAGTCATATCACACATTGTAAATCCTGAAACACTTCTCTCTCAAAAGTATTTCATTCTGTATAAGATATTTCAGTTTGCAATCACCAACAGTCAGCAGCACATGTCAAAGATTTCAGCTGCAAAACTACAGAATGGTCAGAGAGAGGAAGAGACAAAAACATTTGTGTGTAGATATGCATATATACACTCAGATTTCTGGACAGCATGGAGTTGGTGGAATGGACTGTAGTGAAATTCATTCCATAACAGAATATTCAAGAGAAGAGTGACCTAAAAAAACATTCCCAGACAGAATTCCAAACTATTTCCGAATGTGTTATAACAGGGATAATTTGTTTTATCATTCATTACATCTATCCCTAAAGATGATTAATTTTCTTTCTGATATCACTATAGCCATGGAACTCTAGTTCTACAGGAGAAAAAATCACTAATTCCAGAAGGCTGGCTTAGCCTTCATACATGTTAACTTGAAGACTGCATGAACACATTCAAATAGTATGGGACTCCATTAATCAAAATAAAATGGTTAACAAAATGTTATTTCTACATTCCTACTGTCCATGCACAAGGCTTCTAGAACTTGTGGGTATGGACTACTAAGCCGAATGAAAAAAAATACAGTGGTGCCTCGCTAGACGATGATTATCCGTTCCACTGAAATCGCTGTTTAGTGAAATCATCGTCTAGCAAAAAGCATTTCCCCACTGGAATGTATTGAAACCTGTTTAATGCGTTCCAATGGGGAAAAATCATCATTGTCTAGTGAAGATCGGCCATAGGAAAGCCACTTTGTGAACCCCCTATCAGCTGTTTAAATCGCTGTCTTGTGAAGCTTAGGTCCGGAAAACACCTGTTTGCGAGCGCGGAGAGAGCTGTCAAAATCGTCATCTAGCGAAAATCGGTTTGCAAAGCAGGGACCAAACATTGTCCTGCAAAATTCCCCCATAGGAACCACTGTTTTGCGAATCGCTATAGCGATTGTAAAAAGCCAATGTCTAGCGAAAAAACTGTCATGCGGGGTAACTGTCCAGCGAGGCACCAGTATATGTCATTATATTTTTACAGCATGTGCAAAAATATTTACTGAATACATATAATTATACTATCTGTTCATCTTTTGAGGGAGGTGATTTGTGTTTGAGCTAACAAGGGTTGCTTATGAGCTGCAGAATCAGCACAGCAGAGAAAGGTTGAATAGAGCTGCATTAATATAATGCAAGGAAACAATTTGCTTTGGCATCATGGGAACCCTGGTATAGAAGTCATGTTCAGGCTCAAAGCATACATTTGAGATTTGGACTGAAACAGTATCTACAGGCAAACATGAAGAGATCTGCTAGACATTTAGGACACTTGCTACAATTAACATGCTAATTTGCACAAATCAAATATATGAATACTATAGAACAGGAGTCCGCAACCCCTGGTCCACAGCTCGGTACCAGGCCATCACAAGACTGGGCTGCAGAGACAGATCTCCCATCCTTGTGCCCACACTCCCCCCATGCACACCCACCCACATGGGTGCCACCCCTGCCCACGGGTGCCATCCACGCACCAATGGGTGCCCCAGTACACTCGTGTGAGTGCACCCCGTTCCCCTGCCCCACTGCGAATGTGGGGGGTGCCCCGCCCCCCAACTGGTCCACAGTTTGGAAAAGGTTGGGACCTCTGCTATAGAACACCCTATACACGATTTTGAAGAGACAACATAAAAGAGGGACAAACAGTTAAAATAGCTAATTTAACTTTTCAGAAAGGTACTCTATAAAACTACATTGCTGTTACTGAAGCAGGGGTGGGGAACCTAATATAGTCTTATGGCAACTGGCTATTCTTTGAAGATTGTATAGGGATGCCAGTTACACAACCAAAAGAAAGAGAAAGCCAGACAGAGAAAGAAAGAAAGAAAGAAAGAAAGAAAGAAAGAAAGAAAGAAAGAAAGAAAGAAAGAAAGAAAGAAAGAAAGAGAGAGAGAGAGAGAGAGAAAGAGAGAAAGAGAGAGAGAGAGAGAGAGAAAGAGAGAAAGAAAGAGAGAGAGAGAGAGAGAGAGAGAAGATAAAAAAGAGAGGGAGAAAGAGAGAGAGAAAGAGAGAGAAACAGAGAGAGAGAAAGAAAGAGAGAAAGAAAGAAAGAAAGAAAGAGAGAAGATTAAAAAAGAGAGGGAGAAAGAGAGAGAAAAAGAAAGAGAGAGAGAGAGAGAAAGAGAAAGAGAGAGAGAAAGAGAAAGAGAAAGAAAGAAAGAAAGAAAGAAAGAAAGAAAGAAAGAAAGAAAGAAAGAAAGAAAACCACTGATCTTTGAAGAATGTGTAATGAGTATCTGTAAAATACTCATTACACATTACAATACAACTCAGGTCCCTTTAGATTCTTGGACTGCAGTTTCCACCATCGATAAACCTTTGTCTTGCTGACTGGGGCTGATGCAGCCCACAGTATCTGCACACACCTTGGTAGAGAAAATCTGCTGTGAAGGATGGAGAACTTGGCTCTTCAGTGCCACCTGCTACAGAGAATGTGGAACTGCCCTAAAGGAAGGGAAGCTTGCCTCTTCAATTTCACTTGTGTTGAAGGTTCCAATTTACTTACATGCACTCATTTGACTATGTTATAAATAATCCTTTTCTCCCAAATAGCAAGACAAGGGGAAGTGTGGATTACTGTAACACTGTAAACACGCTAATATAGACAAATTCCTCTGAACACATGGAGTTTGAACACTACTCACACAGTATGTTCAGAAATTTCAGAATTTCTGAACACAGTATGTTCAGAATTTTTTGTTTCACAGGACAAGACAAATAACATTTCCCAGTGCAGTTCTTCTGGACAATCTACATTTCTATATTCTCCTACTGGCAAATAATGTATTCAATACTAGGGATGTACAGAGAGATCCATTTATTTTAGGTTCTTTTGGTAAAGAGGTGCCTCATTAGTTTCTGAATCATTAGGGTACCAGTCCTTTTGATAAACCAAGAGTATCCAAATTTTTTTGATTCTTTCACATAGATTTTTCTATTTGGGGTTCTGGAACTTTTAAATGCCTGTCAAGGTAAAGAGAAGCAGGGGAAAGACAGGGGCTAATAGAATAGCAGCAGGAAGCAAGACAATGATGGGGGAAGAGAACTGGGCTGGCAGAATGGTGGCAGCAGTGAGGCAATGGCAGACGGAGGTAGAAATGGGCTGGCAGAATGGTGATGACAGTGAGGAAGAGAGAAGAATAGGACTGGCAGAACAGGCAGAATACTGGCAGAGAGGCAATGAAAGGTGGGGGAAGAAAAAGACTGGCAGGACATACAATCTTCTGTGGTCACGTGGCCAGCATGACTAGACAAAGAACGCTGTTTACCTTCTCACTGAGGTGGTACCTATTTATCTACTCACATTTTTGCATTTTGCATGCTTTTGAACTGCTAGGTTGGAGGGAACTGGGACAAGCGACAGAAGCTCACTCCGTCATGTGGATTCGATCTTACAACTGCAAGTCTTCTGACCTTGCAGTACAGAAGCTTCTGCGGTTTAACCGGCAGCGCCATCATGTCCCTTCACAAAATGCTTAATAACAATCTAAAACACAGTGCACCCCCATACCCACGGGGCCGTTTGGAGCAGTTCTTTTATTACAAACCTCCTTTCCAAAATTATATTGATTGTTGCTTAGATGCTTTCCCCTTTCACTAGTACAAATTCAATAAATCTACCCCAAATAGCATAGAAAATATTTAAACTTATTTCCCCTTTTCATCTTAAATTCAGTAGTCAGTTTGTCATTTAGCACAATGTCCAATACTTCCTTATACCAATCTTCTAATTTAATATCATGTTTGTCTTTCTAGTATCTAGCTATTAATAATCTAGCACTTGTCATAAAATTAGAAATCAATTCCTTTGAGAAATAATCAAGTTCTATCTTATAAAAAATTGACAGCAAGGCAATTTTAGAGTTAAAGCAGGGGCTAAATAATGACAGGGGATGGGGGAAATGAGGCTGGCAGAAAAGCAGTGGAGTAAGGCAAAAGGAGGAGGGAAAAGGTTTTAAATATATGATCAAACTGAGATAACTTGTATCAAACTGAGATAACTTATTTTCAGAAATCTCTCTTCCAGAGATCCAACATTATGGGGTTTCAAAGGCTCTCTATCAAAACCTACGAAAAGAATCCAAAACCAAAACAGCCTCTTTCATGTTTTTTTAAAATTCAGGTTAACTCAAATTGCTCATCCTTATTCAATGCTTCTAAATGTCAATTGCAAAAATGAATGTTCATTATTTGTTCTTCATTCCATGAACAATCACATTTGAAAAAGATTATGATAAATAACAGGTTTAACTTTCCCTAGCACTTCACCCTTTTATTCTCTTTCATTATATCGGCACAGTAGTATACTTGTAATTTAACAGAAGTTACCTCAACAGCTTCTCAGGGCTAGTGAAGCCCAAAAAGATCCGTCTGGTTACATTCAGTGCAAAAGCCAAGCCACTGTGAAAGGGGAATAATAAACAACAGTTACTACTGTCGAGAACTTGCTATCATGTAATACACAGCATATGATATAAACAGACATATGGAGTCAAAAATTCTATTTTGAAGCTAGACAAGCCTAAGGAATAAGGCAGCACAAATAATATGTCTTGTCCTTTGATGCAGTTGAGTTTTTTAAAATACTAGGCTAAGATTACAGGAAACTTTCCCATAAACAGTAACATGAGTGCTTTAGAATTGAAGAAAAGAAAAAACCCACAGAAACACAGCATGATAACATTGGCTTATAGATTTCTATGTTAACTGGGTAATACACATTGTGGTTGCTAAGATCAGACACTCTTCATACAGGATTCCTAAATCACATCCAGTAGTACCTATATTAGCAAGAGAGGCCAAAAATGGGAAGCAAAACACAATGGTAGCAACCACTGATTTGTAATTTAACAGCCTGACATTAATGAAAAACACCACTGTCATTTAATATGCTCTTTGAAAAAAGCTATGCTGCCATGTATTACATTCCCAGAGAAGGTCTGTTACAGAAATTGGACTAAACAGATAAAGCATGAAGTCCAACCAAAAGTTACTGGATCACTCAAGTCAGTCTTGGAGCTTCTGATCACATAGGACTTTGTAATTATGAAAAGTGCAATTAAAGAATAAGAATCAATATGCTTTAGTAACTATTGCATACAATATTGTTCAGAGATCTTTGAATCTCCACTCTAATGAGCCCCAGATCAATTTTCAATCAGTTAAAACCTCTGTACAGTGAATACTATATTAAAAATAATAGATGAGTATTGCTACCATAATACTTTGGGGAAAGAAACTGATTTCTAGTTTTAAAGATATCCTAAAATGGATCTGGGATACCCAGTGTGGTGTAGTGAACAGAGTAACTGACTAAGAGTGTGCCTACATTGGAGAGCTGAAACAATTATTAAGCTTTGCTATGATTTCATTCAGAATTTTTATTATGTCTGAAAGCACAATTGGTGCCCGCACAGGGGCTGCAGATTCATTCAGAAGTTCACCATTCACACTAGCCGCGATGCAAGTTACATTCCAACTCACAGCCCCCTCCCACTTCCTTCTTGGTCCCACTTCTACAGTACTGATTCTTGAATGCAGCCCAGAGGAGTTCCGCACCCCAAAGCAAGAGGTGCAGCCAAGAGGCAATGAAAATCTTGCTTTCACAGGGACATCCACACAGCGCAGCAACACTCTGCCCGAGGGCTGGGGTGAAGCAGCTGAAAGCCCACCTGAACTATCTCAGAAATTCCCCAGATGGAGAAGGATTCTTATATGTGCAACCAAGAAAGAGCCACAGGATTGTTGAATGTGCTGGCTGGATGCCAGAATGTTGGAGGGATAAGAGTTGCAAGTGTACCCTGATATGGGGGTCAAAAGGACCCAGAGAGGGAGTATATGCCAGTGCAAATAGATCAGGAATTGTTTGCAGACAAGCCAGGCAGAACTTCCATGGCTCTCAGCCAAGCATCCTGTGTGGCAGGGGTCTCCAAACTTTTCACATCGTATATTTTTGAGGGCCAAAGGAATGTGCACACACCCACTTCTGCTCTCCCATCCGCCTGCATGTACACACGCATGCACTCCCACCCACCCACCTACATGCACTACCACCCTCCCTCCCACATGCATGGGCCAGATAAAAAGGCCAGGTGGACCATGTGGTCCACGGGCCGTACTTTGGAAAATCCTGCTCTATGGCAAAAGTTCCCAACCTTGGATCCCCAGACGTTCTTGGACTACAACTCCCAGAAACCTTCACCATCAGCTGTGCCAGCCAGGAATTCTGGGAGCTGTAGTCTAAGAATACCTGGGGACCCAAGGTTGAGTACCACTGCTGTATGGGATCCTCCCCACTCAAACTTCACACTATTAAATTTCTGAAAAACATTTCTACTGAAAAAGAAAAATAACGGAAAAGGTACTTCATAGTCTCAGATATAAACTAGTTTAAACTACTGTACCTCAAAACTAAATGTCACCAGAGATCAGTAATTCCTGCATGCATTACTTGAAAGTAAGAGAAGGTAGTAACTGATGAATGGTGGGAAGAAGGTAATCCTGAATGGAATCAGAGTTGTGAATCATGATGTAATTTGCAAAATTAACTGTTGATATTTGATACTCTGCATTCTGAGACCATAGATTTTTCCACATTATTTTTCAATTAGAAAGTTTTTCAAAACATCACATAAGAAGCTTCATAGCAAACCTTATTCACAGTGCTTTGCTTTTGCATGCATCCCTCCATCCTGCAAATCACACCCAACCAGGTGGGAAGCTGTTTTTTTTTTTTTAAAAAAATGAAGTGGCTTGGGGGAGGAGAGAGTAAATGCTGGGGCTACAGACACATCCCTGTCTTTAAAACAACATCTGCAAGGGAAAAAGCCAGATCAAATCCTCCTGTCATGAAAAAGATGTAGTCCTCTAGAGCAGGGGTCCCAATCCCCTGGCCTTGGCAGGACCAGGACGCTGAGACAGATCTCCTGCCCCCCCATGCACGTGTGTGCATCCTGCCTACTCGTGTGCCCCACCCACCTGTGAGTGTGGAGGGTGCCCCTGCGCACAGACCCCATCCCCCAACAATTTAACAGTTTGGAAAAGGTTGGGGACCATTGTTCTGGAGAAGTGGTTCTCAACCCTGGATACCTAGATGTTACTGGACTACAACTCCCAAAAATCCTGGCCAGCAGAGCTAGTAGTGACAGCTTCTCTGAGTTTTAGTCCAAGATCATCTGGAGACCCAAGAATGGGAACCACTGCTATAGAAGCAAAGGGGGGAAAAGCTAGTTTTGCAACAAATAGGCTGGACCAATTCGAATCAGCCTTCTATGTCATGCAGGTGTTGTTGTTTTTTTAATGAATTCCTCAGTTTTATAAGCAGAACAAATCTCTGATCAAGTAGTTCCCTTTTAGGACTCAGGAGAACAGAGTCTGAATCCCCCTCAGCCACAGTAGCTCACTGAGGATGTGGAACTGCTAAAACTACATGTTAAATATTTCACTTACCATGAACGTCCTATTAGAGTTGCTATAAGTTAGTTGTAATTTGATGGCACAAAATAAACTGGGTTTCTATTCATATGTTTTCCCCTATATACCACACTCAAACCTTAGGCAGCAGTATTGCATACTAACAGGGAAGATCTGATTTAAATCATGATCAGATTTTTTGATAATTAGAATTTTCTTTAAAAATTAAATTTTTAAAATTTAAATCAAAATCACTGGTTTTTTAACCACCCTGCACATCAGCAATAGAATAATTGTCACATTCTTTCATGAATCTCATGAGGAGTCTTAAAAACATAAGATCTGAAAACAAAATCATGTACTGTAGATGGATATATTGCTAGCCATGATGCTTTCAGAAAAAACATCAGCGGAAGGAAAGCAAGAGAACTGTCAGAAGAGCTTGGATAAAAATCTCTGATCATTTTTTTAAAAAAATCAATATAATTCATGATTTTTAAATTTTAATTTGTGATTTGAATCAAATCCACCCTGGCACTTTATAACAATAATGGAGAAGCAGTGTTAAACTGGGTGGGAAACTTCCAACAAACCTTTATTTGCAACAGCAAATGCCCTCATCTTTCAGTAGCAAAAGATGGTGATGTGGCTATAACTTAAACTTGTCATTTGCTTGTGAGCTTATAGCCAACAGTGTGTGAAGTCCATCTCTACTACAATTCCGAATATGCAGCACTACCCACAATGTGCCAACTTACAGCAGCAGTCTGACCATCAACAGTATTACTTTGCAGGACAATTAATTTTTAAAAAGCCAACTGGCAAAAGCCCAGCACAACTTAAAATATACTGAACATTTGTCTAGCCCCAGAAACCTATGAAGTTTGTTAAGGCAGTAAAATGATCATCCCAATTGTTCTTAATCTGAGCATGCAGAACCAACTACCTCCAAGGCCTAACACTGGAAACAGCTGGGAAAATGAATAATTATTTCTCACAATCTGAATTGAAACCTTTCAGCAAATAAACCATTTTTGCTGGGCAGCAATCAATTTCTTTGGTCTCAGAAACCAAAAGACACAATTGGTTAAAACTAAAACTAGAAGTCAAGAAACTGTGAAAGCCCTAGAGATAATTAAAGCAGCTTAGCAGCAACCCAATTAAAGACCATAGGCATGTAAACATTTCAGCACCTCAAACAGCCTATAAACTCCTCATTAATGGCAGATCTGAAACTTGAAAGGAACAAGCAAATGGAGAAGAATAATTTTATAAGACCATTCAGCTTAAGCAAATTGAAAAAAGAAGTTTATATCTACTAAAAGCGCAAAGCAGCAGGCCTGGTTGATATCCACGTAAAACAGATAAAACACTTTAGTACAGTACCAAATAATAGTAATAAACATGTGCCATCAAGTCAATACTGACTTACAGTGATCCTTTTTAGGGTTTTCCAGGTAGAGTATTCAGAAAAGGTTTACCATTCTCTTCCTCTGGGCACCCTGGGACTGTGCAGCTTGCCCAAGGCCACATAGGCTGGCTCTACTCATAGGATGCACAGTGTGGAACTGAACTCCCAAACTCTAGCTCTTCAACCAGATACCTAAACCACTGAGCTATCAAGCAAGCAGTAACAAAAAAGTGGCTCCTTAATTTCTTTAAATAATTTTCTTGACTCTCTCAGGATCTTGAAAATTTATAGTGAATAATAAAAGATTACTTCCACTTCACAGATTGCTGCCTTGTTGTGGTGAAGGGGCTTGAGTAATTCAGAGAAGCAATGGGCTATGCCATGCAGGGCCACCCAAGATGGATAGGTCATAGTGGAGAGTTCTGACGAAACGTGATCCACTTGAAGAAGGAACTGGCAAGCCACTCCAGTATCTTTGTCAAGAAAACCCCATGAACAGAAACAAGAGGTTAAAAGGTACGACGCTGGAAGATGAGCCCCTCAGGTCGGAAGGCATCCAACATGCTATTGAGGAAGAGCAGAGCATAGGTACAAGTAGCTGAAGAGCTAAAGAAGTGGTTGTGCCAAAGCCGCCTGCAAAACCCATCAGAAATGAAAAAAAAGCAAAGCAGAAAGCAAGCAAACTGCAAGACCCTTCGGAAGTGCAAAAAAAGCAAAGCCAAAAGCAAACAAAACACGCAAGACCCATCGGAAACGGGAGGAAAAACCCCAAAAAGCAAACAAACCCCCCAAGACCCATCACAGCACAGAAACATAATCCCACCACCCAGACCAAAACCCATCCAGAAAAGTTTTTAAAATCAGAAAGTAGTACCTTACCTTACAAGGCAGTTTGAAGTCTCGAGATGAGGATATTTATATTTGTATATGAATATGAATACCCCTGCACAGCTCGGCTTAACGAGGTCCACTCACGCGGGGGGAGGGAGGACAAGTCTTCCTGCATGGCCACCAAGTGGGAAGAGAGCTGCACTCCAGGAGTAATTGGGAGGATGATAAGTCCAGTTGTGTAGGGGTATTCGTATACAAATATAAATACAGTGGTGCCCCGCATAGAGTAACTCGAAATGGTCATATCTCAGGACATTTGTAAGTTGAGGCACCACTATATTTAAAAGTACAGGATAAAACCATTCTTTAAGAAATCTACTTGCTAATAAACCCGTGTTTCTCAGCCACAAAATTCTGCCCATACATGAAATGGAGAAAAAAGACTTCTCATGGACCAACCCGGCCTGACTTATGGAAACAGAGAGTTCCAAAGCTAGTGGAGGAAAATACCAAGAACACCTCTACATGTCCTCACAATCAGCAGCTCAGTGGGCACATTTGGCAGAACACAATGTTTTACAATGACAGAAAGTCAATGATACTCCCTTGAATATTTGAAATCTTAAATAGATCTTCAACTGTATATGAAACACAAAAGTACACCACAGTTTACTTGAGATAGTAAAATCCAGAAGGCAGTCATGTTGTGCAAAAGGTGGAGCCTTCAGTCTTATTTAAAGTGTATTCCAATGAAGTCCTGAAATAAGAAATATACCAGGAGAGCAACTACAGTATTTTAAAAATGGTCCTAACAATGATTTGTGGAAAGTGCTCTTAATGATAGCAGTCAACTATGAATTTCCATCAACATTCCTGTAGACCCTAAACATTTTTTTTAAAAAATATTATGTTCCTGATGTGTCAGAATTCATTTACAAGGGGACAAACATGCTATTCCTAGGTAAAGCCTATATTTATAAAGCTATGGTCCTATTTTGCAGCATTAAGGAAATATAGTGTAGAAAAGCAAAATGCTGATAATATACCAGGGTAAGAATGTAATATTGGTCACCACTTAGGAAAAGAAAATACACTGCATGTTCTGTTTTCACAGACTAAAAGTTCTATTTTTAAATTAAGAGTAACATGAGAAAAGCATTTAGAAAGTTAAACTTGACTGGCAGGCACAAATTTTGCAAGAAAGGAGTTCACAGCAATACTTTCATTATGCTTAAACAACTGATCCCAGAGGCTCTTATGGACTCTCACAATTCAAAACAGAAAAATAAGATGTTACTGTTCCAAAACACCCAGAGGATAACATGTTGCAGCAAAAATGACAGTCTTGTGGCACATTAAAGACTAACAAATTTAATTTGGTGTAAGATTTAGTGGGCTGTAGCCCACTGAAAAACAAACAGACTCTGCCACCCTGGATAAACTCATGAAGTCAGCTGACATCCATGAAAGCTTTTACCAAGGTGCCAAAAAACACCCCAGCGTTAAATTCCTTACTGGAGTTCCTTATTACGTCTGAGGATCCCACAAAGAGCTTAACAGTGAGGCACTCAAGTGATAAAAAATTAGAGTCAAAAGTGTTACACTAAGATAGACACTTCCTTTTAACACTACCTTAACTGTATTAGAGTAACTAACAAAGCTACAATATAATCATCCAACAAAGCTCAAGACAAATAACTAGCATTACTTTTAAATAATTATCAAAGACTAAAACTAGCTTACTGTTCTCAGATTCCAATCCAAATAACATGTTCTTAAAAGGCAACTTCATAGGTACACATATGGCCTGATTTAACCACAAAATGATAACACTGCTCCACCCTTGCTTTTATTCTAGTGACAGTAAAGAGATGCCTATATTAATTTATAGAATCATGTCATAGCTGGAGGGTGATAAGAACAAGCCATTCAGAATTTGCCAGTGAATATGCAATAACTGTTTCTCAATTATTGCCCGTTCAGGGCTCTAGGGAGTGCAGTGCAAGGAACAGAATGTTAGACTAGGAATCAGAAAACCTTGGTTCAAACCCCTACTTCACTATGAAAACTGGGAGGAAGGTGAGCAATACTAAAAGTAGTTCTTAAACATACCATATATCTTGAAAACCCTATTAGGGCTACCATGTCAAAGGCAATTTGACACATAAAACTCAACCACACTCAAGGCTCTGAATGAACAAAATGCGGGCAAATCCTATGCACCAGACATGAAGGGGCACTCAAACTTGTTATCTATTATCTAGTTAGTAGACTGCTGGCAGGCATAACTTGTTCCCCTCAAAAAAAAAACAAAAAAAACCATAATACAGTACCTGAAGCACTGTCCTAGACTTTACAGTACTACTCAGTTATCTCAATCCAATTACAAATGCAGTATTCCAGCTTTGCCATACTACATCTAAATAATCCCTTGCTTCTCTCAATCAAAAATATTATCTTCAACATTGATGGGGATCTCCCCCATAATGTCTTAGCAATGTGAAATATTATTATGCCATGTGTGAAACAAATAACTTGCACTGGAAACGACAGGTTCACTGATGGGGGGGTGAGCTGAAGAAAACATAAAGAGGCAAGCAGCCAGTTATATTTATTTATATCCTTTAGGATCATTTTTCATGCTGCATCAAAAGTGCTAAGGAGTGCTAGAACCAGCGCTACTATAAATAAGACTTTACACCAACTCTCAGGGTCCTTGGCGGCTGTTCCTGGTCTTGACTGACTGCACCACAGAATCCAAGTCTCGAAGTGGACTGGGGGAGACAAAAGGGGAGCACAGAGAAGAAGCCACCCCCCCCCACACACACACACACCCAGGCAGGCATGGTCAGGATGCTTCTGTAGGCACTCTGTCCCACCTGCCACTCTTTTCAGGACTGCCACCCCGTCTGAGTTGAGAACTCTATAGAGGCCATGCCAGGAAAATATGTAATGGAGAGGAAAAGAAAACTGCTGGGCATTCCCTGTAGTTTCCGCGCGCGCCCCCCCCCCCGCTCGCCCCGGCTCTTCGGGTCACCGTCCCAGAAGGGTCGCTCATCTCACAACAAGTCCCACCCACCCACCGCGAATGCCCTCAGGAGAAAGCGCCATTGCGCAGGCGCACCAAGTAATGGAGCCCCCCCTCTCATCTCCCCACCCCCACTCCCTCCCAGAGCCTATTGCAGCGCCGAAACAGCCCCGTCTCAACGACCAAGGGCAGTTTTTGCAGACAGAACCGCGGATATAAAACGAACGGGCCTCCTCGTGACTCTTATTATGAACACAAAATAACAGTATCCCAGTCGGTAAGCCGGGAGGGAGCCGGAGCAGTCTTTGGCTTTCTCAGAGGCGAGCCTGTGGTACTCCTGCTCGCCAGCAGAACGGGAAAAGGGGCCGCGAAATACACCCCCCCGGCCAAAAAAAACGGGCTCCAGCAAAGCCGACCCCTGAAAAGAAGACAAAGCGGATGCCCGAGGCCTGGCCCGACACTCACCTACAAGAAGCCACGGACGTCGCCTTTTTCGCTCGCAACGGTGCACAGGCGGAGCCCACCTCCTCCTTCTTTCCAGCGCTGCTGAGGGGACTGCTTTTCCCGCCTCGCTCGCCAGACGGCGAAAGTTAGCCACCAGACGCCTAGATCAAAACAAATGGTGGGGGAGGGGGGGATCCACCACCAAAAAATAAACTTTCCTCGTCGCCGCCACCGTCGCCGTCTCACTCCCTGGAGGAGCACGAACCCAAACACATCAAGGCCCGCCCTTCGCTCCGCTGATTGGAGCATCTTACAATAACGTGAATGTCCATTGGTTCCGCTGCCTGACTATCTGAAGGGTGGTCTGCCCTTTTCCTTCCTTTCCTCGTTTGCCATTGGGCAACTCCTCAAACATTTCGCGACGCATGAGTTGCCATAGCTGCCTATCAAGTCAAGCTCCGCCTTATAAATTTATGATCGTAGTTGGGGGCCTCCTATAAACCCTCCGACGGCGTATTGGTGGAGCCGCTCGAATACGCAGCTTTCACTCGGAGTCGTTTGTGTGCGTGCCCTAAAACCCTAGCTTTTCTCTAATTGGCTAGAACGCCACCCCGTCGGGACAAACCTCGCGTGGGTCCCACCCAAAGCGCTCGTTAGGCCAACTCGATTGGTTGGGCGTTTCGTCATTGCTACTAACTAAGTCCGCCCATCGAATTAAACCCACCACAGACTCAGGAGAACCATTAAAGCGAAGGGAGAACCAGGAGAAGCCAGTTTGGTTCTCCAAGATCACACAAGTGCCAAGCGTGTGGGCAATACCTTTCATTGGGCCACTAAAAAAAAAAAAAATCCAATATCAACCTTTCGTGAGTGAAATCCGCTTCCTCAGGCTAGCCACGCCTCCTTCATGGATTGTGCAGGGGGAAAAAAGGGACGGGAGTTTTTCAAAGCGCATTGCGTATAGAGGCAGTACGCTTTGTTAACCCTGGACATTTTAAACATAATTAATCCGGGTCTTCCTCCCTTCCCCTCCCCTTCGGCTTGAGCCATAAAAGTCAAGCTCGTTTGCGTTTCTACGCTTCTCGTCACGGACCATTTGATATCATTGAGGGACGCCGGATTTTAATTGCAGAACCCGCAGCTTTCACTGTACTGGATCACATGACTCGGGGGGGGGCTTAAGGCAAGTAACGTCATCGGTCGCCTAGGTTTTCGGCTTGGCCGAGACTGTTATTGCTTTCATTACAGAGCAACATAGGATTAGATAACAGGCTTGACCACCCCCTCCCGCCTTTAAATGCTTGGAGGAAGCCTCCGCTTCCGCCTCCACCGCCTCCCTTCGTCCTGTGCCCGTTGGTTCGAGCCGCGCAGTCGCAGCGTTGAGTTCCCTGCGCTGTGAGGGGACCGCGCGAGGTGTTTGTGGCCGCACGTGGCCTTCGGCGGGCGCCACGTGACAGTGACAGTAGGCTTCTCTTTGGGAGAAGCGCAAGCCTTCGCGCGTGGCCGCTGCAGGCGCGTGCGCTTTCTGTCTCTTCCCCGCCCCCAAGTCGCAAACCCGGAGCAGACGTGACGTAAATACCTGTGTAAGCCTTTGCTTGCAGCCGTGTTTCACTGGCCTCTACGGAACAGCAAGGCGCACACTCCTCTCTCTTTTATGTTCTTACAGCCAAAGGTCATGATTTATGTGTGCTGGCTATGGCCAGCCTACAGTTTGTTGCAATAGTGTAATAGTAATCGATTATAGGTTGTCCGGAGAAGAAAGGGATAAGTAAAAGTTCAAGAGTTTTATCCAGCTTCTTGGGGAACCTCATGATTTCTGTGTGATACCTGACACATCAGTGGGAAAACAAGCAGCTAGTACTGCAGGAGCAAAGTTAAGGCGTGGATTCAGCCCTTTGAAACTCAGACTGATCACCTGACTATGCTTCTCCCTTTGTCGAGGAAGCAGAGCTACACAGACAACAGAAAAGCTTGCATTTATTAGAGAAATATGCTTCTGATAGAAGTTCGAGACATCAAGAGGCATAGCTGCTCCTTTCTTCTCTTAGAGAACAGAGGAAATATGTCCAGTCCTTGGATGGACAAGGAAAAAAATGACATCACCAATCCTAAAAATAGCAGTCTTTAATTTTGAAGGAAGGTCAACGCAGGTCAGAGCAGATAAAGGACGGTCTAGGAAATCTGAGGAAGTCATCTCTCTAATCTTCCTTATCCAAGGACATTTGTCTTCTTCGGTGTAAGCTGGGTTCTTTCCACCAGCATCCATCATAGAGGGCTGCCACATGGCTGTGTTGCCTTCCCCACCCTCCCCTGTGAAATAGAAACCTTGAGTTTCAAAAGCTGGCAAGGAGAAGATTGCTTGTTATTCTTTTGAAAAGATGGGAGATGAATTCCAAAATGCTGCTTGGGGAGGAGTTTCTAACTACCCACAAACCTAATGCCTTTGAACTCACCTTAACAAAACTTGCCTGGCATGAAAAGCAGCCATACCATTAAACTTTGGGATTCTAATTAGATATGGGGGTATACATATGTGAGTACCCCCCTACAGATGGACACAATGAGGCCCCAGCTCTCTGGGGCTGGACCATCCCCTCACCGTCTGCTGCTGCAGTGGGCTCCACACTCCCTTCCTATCGCTCTGGAGTTTGCAGTCTATTAGCCACTCCTGGCAGGAGGTGGGACGACGAACCTCTCTGCCAGGTCGAATACGAATACCCCCATCTCTAAGTCTAATACATATATTTTTACTACATACAAATCTGACGAAGATGAATTATCATTGAAAGCTAGCTGTCTAGATTTTTTCAAAGTTTCACTTGCTTCTACATTTATAATTGGGGGAAAACCAGACAGCCCTTTTCAGATTTTTTTTCTGATCCATCATCAAATCACAGCTCAAAAGTTTGAATGTACTGTGTGATAAGTAACCTTTCCTAAGCAGATGTCTCCCAGATATTTTGAACATCATCTACATCTGTTCCTGCTAGCATGGCCAATGGTCTGGAAAACATTTGAAGAGCATCAATGGATAAGGGGCTGTAATTAAGTACAGTGGTGCCTCGACTTACGAATGTCCCGAATTATGACCATTTTGAGTTACGACCAGCTCCTGCCACAAAATTTTGCTTCGGCTTGCGGCCGGAGCTTTGAGGTACAACCAAAAAAAAAAGGCAGGGAATTCAAATTGCTAACTGTTGGTAGGCGAAGATATAGCTTTTTGTAGCTCTTTCACCCCAACAGAGTGAGTGCAATCGGAGGAGGCTTCGGACTGCTGGTAAGGTAAGGTGCTGTTTTGCTTTTTAAAAACTGTTCTGGGTGGGTTTTTCAGTGTGATTTTGGGCTGGGGGATTATGTTTCCGTGCTGTGATGGGTCGTGCAGTCCTTGTTTTTTGGTTTTTTTTCCCTCCCATTTCCGATGGGTCTTGGGTGCTTTGTTTGCTTTTTGGTTGTTGTTTTACCCCATTTCTGATGGGTCTTGCGGAGTTTGCTTTTTGTTTTCCCCCCATTTCCGATGGGTCTTGCACAGTTTGCTTGTTTTTGCTTTGCAGAAAAGGGTAACCAAAACAGTTAAGGGACTTCATCTGTGAGGAACATTTGCAATGTTGTTTTTTAAATTTAGGGGGAAAAACAGTAAAGACAACAACAGAGTTGTATAAAATTATGTTTGGTGCAAACAGAGAGCTGTTTTTGCTTCTCTCCTAATACTAGAAATCAAGGTAATCTAATGCACTGGTTCTTAACCTTGGGTTACTCAGGAGTTTTGGACTGCAACTCCCAGAAGCCTTCACCACCAACTGTGCTGGCTGGGGTTTCTGGGAGTTGCAGTTCAAAAACATCTGAGTAACAAAGGTTAAAGAACCACTGAAAATGAACCTAAATGGTAAGAGGTGGAAATCAGGGCAAACAAAAGGAGTAGCACATAGTTAAAATTCAGAATTTGTGTCTCCAAGAAATAATGACGGCTGTCCTTATGGAAGGCATTTCAGTAGGATTAGACAGATTCACACTGGATTGGGCTATTGGTGGCAACTGTCCATCTACAGTGCCTTTGGCAACTCTGCAAACAGGACAAGAGTGCAAGAGCCCCTTGCTGCTTCTGTCCCCCCAGGAGTTCCTATGCAGTGGCATACTGCTTCTGATAATCAGTGTAGTACAGTATGCCACTAAATACCAGTTGCTGGGGGACACAAGCATGAAGGTGTTTTTGTACTCCTATCCTGCTTGTAGGCTTGCCAGGGACATTTTGCTGGCCACTGCAGGAACAGGATGCCGATTAGATAAGCCTTTGGTGTGAGCCATTAGGGCCATTCTTATAGTTTCCTGTGGGTAAAATTAATTAGGGCTGAGAGTGAAGGGGCTTTTGTTCCCATTTCTGAACTGTGTTTTAATGGACGATCTTTTGCTAGTGCTGTATAATAAAGGATGTTGCTCAATGACAAGTACGCTTAGGAACCTTCCCTTTCAGTGTGCCAGGATAATTATTCCAGTACTTGCATTGTTCTGCAAGAAAGAGAATGAGGAATATTTTAATTAGTATTACTGACTACATTGCACCAAGTTTAAAAGTAATGAGGTCTCTCTTTGTATAGTGCCCAGATTCTACAAATAATCTGATTTGGAAGAAACTGCCAAATATTAGCTAATTAGAGACTAGAAAAGTGACATTTTGGACCACAACTCCCAGTATCCCTCAGCCTGCTTATTAAATGACAATGTCATAGGGCAGAACTGGATGACCCACCACTTTTATACTTAGAGTACAAGCTACATAATGTTACATTTCCAAACACGCATTGCTTCCAAATGTTCATGTCTGCAATAAGCTTGCAAGTGAATACTATGCTTATCTCTTCTCCTTTAGGATGCACATACTGTATTAAGATGGTGCGGGGGTTTGCATGTGTCAGGGAAGCGAAGAGGAATATCGTCCGAAGGCTAGACTCCATTGTATGACCAAATTCTTAGCATGGTCACTCAAAGTTAAATAGGCACAGCAGAGTGAGACACCAGATTAAGATCAATCTTTTCTCTTCGTGAATTAATAGTCAGGTAGCAGGAAATAATTGTTTGTCCAATCCCCTTCATAGATTGCTGCTTTGTTGTGGCGAAGGGGCTTGAGTAATTCAGAGAAGCGATAGGCTATGCCGTGCAGGGACACCCAAGACGGACAGGTCATAGTAGAGAGTTCTGATGAAACGCGATCCACCTGGAGCAGGAAATGGCAAGCCACTCCAGTATCTTTGCCAAGAAAACTCAATGGACAGAAACAAAAGCATAAAAGATAAGATGCTGGAAGATGAACCCCTCAGGTCTGAAGCCAGAGAGTTCCAGAAAAACATCTACTTCTGCTTCATTGACTATGCAAAAGCCTTTGACTGTGTGGACCACAGCAAACTATGGCAAGTCCTTAAAGAAATGGGAGTGCCTGATCACCTTATCTTTCTTCTGAGAAACCTATACGTGGGACAGGAAGCAAGAGTTAGAACTGGATATGGATCAACTGATTGGTTCAAAATTGGGAAAGGAGTACGACAAGGCTGTATATTGTCTCCCTGCTTATTTAACTTATATGCAGAATGCATCATGCGAAAGGATGGACTGGATAAATCCCAAACCAGAATTAAGATTGCCGGAAGAAATATCAACAACCTCTGATACGCAGATGATCCCACTCTGATGGCAGAAAGTGAGGAGGGATTAAAGAAACTTGTAATGAGGGTGAAAGAGGAGAGCACCAAAAATGGTCTGAAGCTCAACATCAAAAAAACTAAGATCATGGCCACTGGTCCCATTACCTCCTGGCAAATAGAAGGGGAAGATATGGAGGCAGTGACAGATTTTACTTTCTTAAATGCCTCCCAGCAGAGTTTTCTCCCTTTTGGCATTCTTTGCTCCTTGCTCCAGCTGTGTTTTCTGTCTGTCATTTATATCTTTATCTTTCCTTAATTAATTCTAAACAATCCTTTCTACAGGGCTTGGAAGCTCAGGGACTTGGAGCACCAAGAATTTTTTTTCACTAGGAAATTCTGTTGGTGTTGCACATATTGCAACTCCAAGGCTCTGTAACTTAAAAGCTGTCAAGCTGCCATTTTGACAATAACATAATTATTTTGACTAAAGTTTTCTCAAATCATGGAGGACTAAGGCTCTGTAGCATAAAGTACTTTACCTACCAGGATACTGTAATACAGTACCTGGATATTGTAACACTGTGATTGGGTTCATTTGAAAGTTGAGACTGTTCCTCAGTTTTTGCTGGAAATAACAACTGAGGCCTGTCTGAAATGTTTACAACCTGTTTACTTTCGGAGGTTTGTTGTACATCTGATCTGGCCAGATCACTTTCTTTCCACATCCTTGTCCCCGCGGGAAAACAATCACTGTCCATTATTGAGTCTCGAATGTA